GCAGACATAGGTTAGATGACTTGCTCAGGATCACAGAGCCAGTAAGTGTCTGAAGCATATTTTGAACCCAGGTCTTCCTGAATCCAAGGTCAAACCTCTAACCCCTATACCTTGATATGTCTCTATGTTATCCAGTAGAGTTAAAAAGTCTTTTTAATTTGATTAGATGAAGATTTCTGTGTATGGGAAGGAAATAACTGATGTGTACTAGATCCTGCAGGCCTGATTGGGTGGAACTTTAAATGAACATCATAAAGTGTATGTTAATTACTTGGTGACCAAGATCGTTCCTTTGGAGCTATTAATGTATATTAAAATGTACTTTTATGTAATAAAAAAGAGATTGTAAAAATGGCCATTATGTATGCAGGATAATTGGTTACTTTAAATGATAGGGTTGCCATCTTATTCTGCAAAATACCATAAGCAATTTTATGAGATTATACTAATCATTTGGTTTAATTTTATTTTCTTGTCAAAAGACAGAAGGAAGCTACAAAAGTATAAAAAGGGAAATCAATAATGGAGCATTTCAGACTTAGAGGCATTAAAAAATGAAACTATCCTATAATATTGCTGGAGCTTTAGATCCATAGTTAGAAGTCAGAACTTAACTTCAATGAATGTATGATCTCACTGGCAGGGGTAGTCCCCCAATGATGAAGATCACAATCCTTCCATGTCTTCCTATCCTGTGCAGCTCTTATCCATATCACCCAGTGACATCTTCCATAAAGAATTCATCCAATTTGCTGGGAGGTGGGGGACAGGGATGCTCCTTTTTCTAGAATTTTGCCATTACATGGATACTGACAGAGCATGAAGGCTGTCACTCACTCTTGCAATGTGACCAACTCATATTTTTTTTTTCTGAGCAGGCATCTCTTTATGAGAGTATTATGGAGTAGAAAATAGAGAGCTCACCTCAGAGCTAGGAGTTTTTTCACCTGGGAGTTCCCAGTATCAATGCAATAACAGGTCCAATCTCTATCACTGTCCCTGACTCATTTATCCCCTTATCTGTGCAATCATTTATTTGTAATATGTTGCAACCTGTTCATTTATCCTGCACCTCTCCATTAATTTCTGGGTGACCTGTAACTTGAATTCTTTGGAGTCTGTGCTTTTCCATCAATCACAACCAAATAACATCATGGAATGAATACTAGTATTTTAAAATTGTGGTCCTTTGGCTTTGTTTTTGGTGGCAATGGTGGTTTTGATGGGAAAGCCTGGGGCCATTAAAAGAATTTTAAAATTTCCCAAAGGCATTCTAGCCCACTTTCTTCCTCCTATTCAGCTCTATAGCCAACTCATTGTCTTTTGGCAATATCTGACCCAGGGAGACATCCTGATGGATGAACTAGATCTCTGGTTCATTTATTCAGTTGTATATCAAAAAGTCTGAATTATTATTTCAAATTTGACCAAGTTGAAAACAAAAAATAACAACCCATCATTGAGCATTCTCCTTTTTACTCTCATGACTTTGTAAGTCATTAGAAAACCAGCAAAGTCAATAAAAAAAATAGTTAAATAACCAATAATGATTACTTCTGATGGAGACAAAAATAAAATCTGTCCATCCAAAATTCCCATTTTTGTAGAATAGTTCCCTATCCTATGCCCTTCCCCTAATTTTTTCTTTAATATTTTATTTTGTTTGGTTTTCTGCAGCTTCTGCCCCAGAAAAATCTAATCAATTTTGCTTGGTCTCAGGGGTGGAAGGAGCAATGAACAGACTTGAGTCTGTTAATAAGCACTTATTAAGCTCTTACTAAGGCACTGTACTAAGCACTTCAGATAAGTATCTGGCACAATAATTCAATTTCTAGATGGTATAGAACTGAAAGGAATAAGAAAGGAATTGGATGGCAGTCAGGATCCCAAAAAGACCTGGGGGCAGGCAGCACTTGGGGTTGAATCTAACAAAGTGAAATATAATAAGAATAAATGTAAAGGCTTGTACTTGGGGGTTCAAAAAATAAATTTCATAAGTGCCACTTAAGGGAGGTATGCATGAAGTATAGCAGAAACACAGATATTGGGTAACTTACACCTGACCAATAAGAGTTGCTCTAATCATTTTATTAAGAAGCCACTGAACAACACCGTTACTCAGTTTAGTGAAAACTATCTAATCCGATGGAAATAACCAATGGGAAATTTGATCCCACACATTGTAATTATCTAATTACAGTTTATTCATTTTCTCAGGGTTGACACTTTTGCTTTAGAAAAATAAGGAAAAATATAGATTAGACCATCATGTGATCAGCACTTTTCTTTTTCATCTTCTCTACCAGGATGCAACTAGTTTAACAGCCTAAGTAGCACTTCATGTCTAGACGTCAACATCCCTGCACAAGACTAAGAAATTCATCCCATATTCTTGAAATAATGTAACAGCTAACATTCCAAAAAGCTCTCAAGAGTCACAAAGTGGCCAACATTCATTATGGCATTTGATCCTCTACTTGGTCAGAAATTATTCTTTCCCAGGTTAGAGATGAGGAAACTGAGGCTCGGAGACATTAAATGACTTTCCCATGGTCAGCCAAGTAGTGTTGAAAGGATCAGTTAGAGATCTGGATTCAAGATCCTGGCTCTACCAGTTACTTACAACCTGTGGAACCTTGAACAAATCTTTTTTTTACTTCTCTGCCCATCAGTTTCCTCTTTCCTCATCTATAAAATGGAAGACTCATAGGAAATGATCTCTAAGGTCTTTTCAGCCCCATAACTATGGTCGTGTGATCTGATGTTTTCCTAATTCCAAATCCCATTCTCTTCCCACCAAACCATGGGGCCTCTCATGCCTCTCATCTATTTCTGTCTCTCTCAGCCACTCTGTACCTCTCCGCTCCTTTCCTCTCCTCTCATCCCCTCCCCTCCTTTCCCTTCCCCTCCCCTTCCCTCTTCTCCTCTCCTCTTCCCTTTCTATTATTGCTAATACACCACCATCCTTTTACTTATCAAGGTTGGCTTCAGATACTCATTCTCAATTCCTCACTCTCTTTCACTCTCCTATAACCAATCAGCTTCCAAATCTTGCCATTTCTATTTCTACAATATCCCTCATATATTTCTATTCCTATCCATTCTTGGTCAGCTAGGTAGCACAATGATAACACTTCTGGCCTGGAGTCAGGAAGACTCATCTTCATGAGTTCAAATCTGGCCTCAGACACTTACTAGTTGTATGACCCTGGGCAATTCATTTAACCCTGTTTGCCTTAATTTTCTCATCTGTAAAATGAGCCAGAGAAGGAAATGGCAAATCAATCTAGAATCTTTGCCAAGAAAACCTCAAATGGGGTCACAAAGAGTCAGGCACGGCTAAAAAACCATTAAACAACAGCAATCCATTCTTCCCACCACCAGACCATATCATCTCTCAGCTACACTACTATAATAGCTTTCTAATTACCTGGCCTCAAGTCTCTCCCCTCTTCAATACATCTTCCTCAGAAGTGCCAAAGGGACACTCTTAAACCAGGGATCTGACTGTGTCAGTGCCCTGTGCTCAATAAACTATAGTAGTTGTCTATTGCTCCTAAACTAAAAATGTGGACTCTTCTCTTTACCATCTAAAGCTCTTGAACCTAGCCCCAACCTTTCTTTCTAGCTTTATCATCTATTACTCTACTTCTTATACTCTATTTACAATCCAACCATACTGGCTTTCTTACTGTTCTTCACACACAATTCATTTTCCTCTTCCTAATCTCCTCCTCTGTGCCTTTGAAGTGACTAGCCCCCAGCCTGTAATATCCTCCCTTTTCACCTCCACTTTCGAGAATCCCTGATTTCTTTCAAAAGTCAGTTCAAGTGCTTCCTTTCTGTGAGAACTTTCAAGACATCCACCATTCCCACAAATTCCTCCTTTTATTTTGTATATACCTCTATTAAGGTTACAATATAGGGACTGGAGCTTGCATTTCATCCAGTACTGGACAAGGTAGATTCTCTCTACCAAAGCAGGTTTTTTGCAACTTTAGTGTCTTAGAGAGTTGTTAGAACCCTAAGAGGTTAAGCTATTGCCCAGGATCTCATAGATCATGGCTACCAAAGTTGGACTTGAACCCAGATCTTTGTGAATCCAGACTAGTTCTCATTCTACTACACCACTGTTCCTCTATATATCTGTGTGTGTGCAGAGAGACATAAATCAATCAACAAGCATTTATTAAGAATAGTTTCCTGTATGTAATTAGTGCTTAATTAATATGTTGTTGATTTTCTCTTTCCCTGCATGTCTGCATGTCTCTCTCTCCTTGTTTCTCCCCCTCCATTAAATTCTTCAATCTTTTGCTTTCAGACAAACAACTCTCCTTTTCTGTCTTTCCTCTAAATGTTGTTATTCCTCTCAAATTTATATCAGCATAAGAGATACAGATGCCTTCTCCCTTTGAGAAAGGTTGTCCAATGATTGTTCTGGCTATTTTTCGCTCCTAAAAGCTTGCAAAAGCCTGGAAAATGCCCCAAGGCCACAGGTTTTGTTGATATATTACATCTGTGTGCACCTGTCTCCAGAGCATTTCAGAGATGTTTGTCTACCAATACATTTGGTTTCAGGTACAGAGCCCGCCAGGCTAAGATATAGGGAGTCTATGGGAGGGAGGAAATGTGGGAACATTGTCTGAAAACAAGGCTTTCCAGTAAATTACCTTACTGCCCCTCCAAGCGGATCCTTCCTCCTTTCCTTGGATGAGAGAAAACAGAAAGTAATTAGGAACTTTAAAAGGCTTTTGTGGTTTTGAAGACTTTGGCAAGACCTGTTGAAAATGCCATCTTCATAATTGCCTTGTTTCAATGCTTCTTTTGTCCCTCATGATGCATCATGTAGTTTCTGAATGGCTGTTTCTGCATCCACCCCCCTCAGGGCTGGGCCCATTTGTTTGTTTTTCTTCATATTCTTAATGTGAATCTGTTGGGTGCAAACCACTCTTTCCTCCCATCCCTTCACTCCAGGACATCTCCATCCTTGGCCCCCACACAAGATGACAACCATGCAACAAAGGTAGGGCCTTTTGCTTTTTCTTCCCTAAATCCACAGCTGGGAATGCTTTTTAAGGGGGTGTAGGCAAGCAAATCGTATAGCTCTTAGCCAGGACTGGACGTCTATTTATGAAAAAGCTTTGAATGCCCACCTGAGGAAGGGGATGTGGGGTAAAGGTAAGCTGCTCTACCAGCTGTAGTGAACTGCTCTGGCCCTAAGCCAAACATTTTGTTTTTCCTGCAAAACTGCCCAAATCATGTTGTACTTTTATTATGAAAGCAATATAAAGCTGTTTTTCTGGGGCATTGTAGTCCTGCTTAAACATGTATAAACTGCTTTTTTAGAGATTATGGGACCATTGGCACTGAGTGCAGAAGTGATCATTTCTGTGATAATGTGAGATAATTCCAGAGTGATTCATTGGTGGAGATGTGTAAATGCTGTGCTTGAATCTCATTGCTTTGGGGTGGGGGGTAGGGGGTAATAAAAAAAGTTTTATGCAGAAAGTGAGTCTTTTGATATTTGAAAAAAACCTCTTTGGGTGGGTGAGGAACACATAATTCTTTCAGGCAGCCATGTGACATGCTAGAAAACAAAACTAGTCTAGATCAGCAGTTGTCAAAGTGTTGTCCAGGGCCCCCTCGGGGGTCCCCAAGACTTTTCTTCAGGGGGTCCACAAGGTCAAAACTATTTTCAAAATAATAATAAGATATTTTGATTTCTAATACAGCAAATATCGATAGAAACAACTCATAGCAATGATTTTTAATAGTGTAAAGGGGCCCTGAGACCAAAAAGTTGAAGAAACTTTTCCAGAGTCTAGAAAAATGCTCTCCTTTAGCCAATGATGACCGGTCTGTCTTCAGATTTCCTCAGTTATATATTTTGGAGATGTCTGGGAAACAGACCATGGGGAGAAAAATGTCCCTTGCCCAGTTGTGGATACACCACCAAACTAATTGAAAAAGTAGGGCAAAATAACAAGAAAATGGGAGAATCATAGATTTTAAAGCCAGAAGGACCTTGGAAGTCAGCACCTGGTTACACAGATGAGGAAACTAAGGCAAAAAGAAGTTAATGGCTTGCCCAAATGAATATGCCTAGAAAGCATTTGATGTCTCCAAATCTAATTCCCTATCCACCATCCCATACTGACTCTTGGAGAAGCAACAGGCCACTGCCTTCAAGTATTTGGTGAGTCAAAGAGGGATTCATTTTGTTCTATTTGGTTCCAGAAAGCAGAACAAAGAGAAATAAGGAGGGGGAGGGGGTTGCAAAGAGGCAGATCTAGGTTTGACATAAGCAAATAACTCTTTAACAATTAAGAGCTGTCCAAACTTGGAATGAATTGCTTAAGAGGTAGTGAGTTCCCCATCACTGGAAGTCTTCAAGTAAAGGGTGTGGGACCATCTGTTAGGTGGGTTATAGAGTTGGAATCTTATGCACATAAGGGTCCAAACATGTGACCTCTGAGGTGCCTTCTTCCTAGGAGAATCTGGAATTCTCTGATTCTCTGAATCCCACGAAGGACTTTTTTCTGGCAGTGTTTCGTTTCAATTAAAAAGAAACCCTGCAGCCTTTTAAAGGGCACGGTCAAAATCAGTCTTAGAAGCTGGTAACCTGAGACCTGTAACTCTGGAATTTGCCTCTGGTTTTCCTTTTTAAGTTGAGGCAGAGTGGGCAGAGATGCCCTCAGGCTAGTAGGTAAGATTCCAGAGCCATGCTGGCCTGGGGCTAGAGTCTTTAGGTCTGTGGCACCTGCCCACTTATTCTTTGAGTCCCTGGCCCAGCTACCTGACATCCTGCAGTACTTGGCAAAGTCCCCAGTCATGCCTGCAGTTCCTGGGCTAGGGGCCTGTTCTTGAGAGCATTGGTGGTCTCAGGTTATCCCAACTATCAGAGAGAATCTGATATCAATAAACAAGTGAACCCCCTACTGTGTGCCAAGCATTGGGACTATAAAGACAGAAATGAAAGGGTCCCCATGCTGGTGGGCAACCTGCAGCCTCAAGGCCACATGTGATCCTCTAGGTTCTCAAGTGTGGCCTTTTGACTGAATCCAACCTAGTGAAGTCTGAGTGAAGTTTGGATTCAAAGGACTGTGCACACTTGAGGACCTAGAGGGCCACATGTGGCCTCGAGGCAGAAGGTTCCCCACCCTTGTTCTAGGAGCTCAAAATCAATCAGGGGTGACAATACACACAAGCAAACACATGCACATATATACATGCATATATATGCTGATATTCAGGAAGACATTAGTGACTGTTGCTTACTTCAATACCTCCAGGACACTTGATGTGGGTTTGCCCTGCACATATGCAGATTACAACCACTCTGTACATCATACCCTTTGTGAGTTATGTCTCTTGGGGGAAGAAAGGGGAAGAGGGAGAAGATTATATAATAGTAGCTGACAATATTACAGCACTCTAAAGTTTTCAAAGTTCTTTGAGCCTCATGAGACAGCTAACGGTGCAGTGTAGAGTGCAGTGTAGATACAGACCTAAAGACAAGAAGACCTAAGTTCAAATCTGGCCTCAGATACTTACTAGCTATGTGACCATGGGCAAACTTGTTTGTCTGTTTCTTCAACTGCTGGATGATAATAGCACCTTCCTCCCAGAATTGTTGTGGTGGCCAAATGGGATGATATTTATACAAACTGCTTAGCACAGTGCCTAGAACATAATAGGCACTATATAAATGCTTATTCTTCCTCCCCATACCACTAAGGGAGGTACTATAGGCATTATTAGACTAAAGCTATCAAATGACTTACACAGGGTCACACAACTAGTACATTTCCAAGGAGAATTTGAACACTGATCTTTCTGAAGCCAAACCTATTGTGCTGCTTCCTTATAATCAACCTTCTTGGCAAATAGTACGCACTTATAAATGCCTGTTGATTGATTGGTTGATTATTTACCAAAATTCACTGACTATTGAACCAGAGACAGAGCTGATAATAATTTACTATGCTCTGTCTCCCAGGAACCCAAAGGAATCTCATGATGAAAGGAAGAATTTCAAATATCAGTAAAAGGAAAGAAGGAGAAATTGCTTTAAAGCTAGTTCTCAGACATCAGCTCAGTCTGTGAATCAATTTCGCAAAAATTCTCCAACTGGTATAATCCAGCATAATCATTCCATGTGACTCATTCCAGCAGGTGAATGCAGCCATAGAGCAGAATCACAGAAAGGCGGAGTAGGAACCAACCACTTCTAACCAGGAAACACCAATGAGACTTTAGTGCAAAAGATAAACATTGTCATCTGCCTCCCATTAAATAGAAAGGGAGGTCTTAGTGAAACAAAGAGACCTAGAAGTAGCTAGATGGCACAGTGGCTAGGGTGATAGACCTGAGTTCAAATCCTGCCTTAGATAATTATCAGCCATATGACCTGAGAGAGTTATTTGACTTTTCTCAGTCTCAAGTTCCCCATCTGTAAAATGTAGATGACAATAATTGCACCTACCTCACAGGGTTTCTGTAAGGCTCAAAAGAGATAATACATATAATGTGCTTGGCAAACCTTCAAGAATCCTATAAATGTCAGTGAGTTAGCTACCCAAGATAAGCAAATGGTAGAACTTGGATTCAGAACCAGAAGTTCTGACCAAAAAAAAGCCAGTGTTCTTTCCACTAAGCCAATTCCAAGGAAACCTAGGGAAGGGGGAGAGCAGGTAAATGATAGACAAAAATCTCTGTCCTCAGGAAGAAAGCAGCAAATCCCAAGCAAATACTTCAGCAGACCTCACCTTTCTCCAAAGACAGGAAGGGAGGAAAGGAAGTAGGGAGGAAGAAGAGAGAGAGGAAGAAAGGAAGAGAGAGACAGAGATTCGGGAGGGGGGAGAGAGAGAGAGAGAGAAAGAGAGAGACAGAGAGAGAGAGAGAGAGAGAGAGAGAGAGAGAGAGAGAGAGAGAGAGAGAGAGAGAGAGAGAGAGAGAAGGAAAGGAGGAAGTTCTGTATCCTCTCTTTGCTGGGCTTCATAGAATTACTTCTGTTGAAGCTATCTCTCAGTAGGGGAAGACTCAAGTACCAGACAGATATCATAAACTTTTTTCTCTTAAAAAAATTAAGATACTTTAATCTCCTCCCCTGCTTTCCTCTGAAAATCATCTAGGCTTTCTACCAGCTCCTCCTGAGCAGGCTTCCAGCCTGTTACCTGGACCAGGTTCAGTAGCAGTCAATTATGTAATTAAGGGCTTTTTCCCTTGGGCTCAAGTCAAGCATGAAATACTTATTAGCTTGGAGTTGTTATTGTTTTTAATCAGATCCTACCCCCTAGAAGAGGGTTTCTAGATAAAAAAAAAAAAGCTGGGAGGGAAATAGGAATAAGTCTATTGGGTGTGAAAACTCCTTTGAAATCTCACCTGTTTGGTTTCAAACCCAACTGTGACAACCAGTGACAAAGATCTCATTTGCCCTTCTGTGCTCCAGTAAGAAACACTATATCATGTGTTTGTAGACCCAAGAGTCTAAAGGGGGCCTGCAGTGAGCTCTGTGGGAAAAGCCCAGTTATGCCAATTGCACCCACCTAACTGGACCCCTTCCATGTTCAAAAACCCCAGACTGAGTACAGCAAAGCCTGGGTCCATGAGGTACTTCCCTAGTCACCACAGGGCAAAAATAGGAATACGGGATAATAAGAATGGCAGGCTCCCTGCTTTGTTATAGTATCCAAGCCCAAGTAGCTCAGCTCATATCTGCAACCAGAGGATCTAGACCCAGTGGTGAGCAGAGAAACTTGTCCAAAGGCAGAGTATAAGTAAGCCAGTAACTCAATAAATCCAATAAATACTTGGTGATTCATCCATGAAAGGGAGGATCTATGAGGGAACTCCTGGTCCCAGATCTCTCCTAATATCCCCTTCCTAAGTCCATCTTGCCTCTACACAATAAAAAATTGAAACCATTAGCCTTAGGGCCAACTCCTTATTGGTGCTTTCTTAAAACTTTTTTAAATGTAATTAGAACCCTCAGCAGCCTCCAACTGCCAACAGGATAAAATG